GCGGAACTAAAATATTGCTCAGTTTCATGGCTACACGTCAATTTCACTCGTAATATACAAACGAAATTTTTGTACACGCCTTTCTCTTATACTAAAACCGCTTTTTCTAAAAGCATAGGATTGTTCGTTTAGGTTTTCCGCAATTCGCCAGCTACTTTTCATGAACGTGCAAGATCTGAAACTCATATGCAACACATATTGTGATGTGTTGACTACAGAAGCCGATAACAAAACTGTAAGTCTTTAATTTTCTTTCGTTTTTCGTATTCAAATGTAGCTGGCGACTTGCGTTGTTGTCGATACTTTAATTGTGGAGAAGGATTTTTCAGTCCATAAACATAGTTATGAGAAAGGTGCTTTTAAAATTTAATGATAAAACAGGACACTCCAGCATCCCCTTAAGACGGTCTTGAATATACAATAAGATTTAATTATGAATATTAGCCTATGAATATCAAATGACAAACTATTGAAATAAATTACAAATTACGCCGTATCAGCGCTAAATTCTTCGATATCGGAGATATGATATTCGCCCATCATTACATATGTATCAAGTCTATGGTTATATGCTTATTGCTTGTCTGCATTGACCTTTGATATTATTGTGTTTGATAATATATTGCGCATTAAATAATGTAAATGTTGATAAATGTCTTAATTGTTATTGGTTTGTGTTACATCGACAATTTCTATTTTATTAGAAATTTTAATAAATATTTTACTCGCTCACATTAAATCATATAGTTTATTCAATATCGCTTTGTCCGAAAAACAAAGTTTAGAAAATTCAAATCGGAACTGTGTTGAAAAAGTAATCTAAGTTATTTTAAAAAATTTTTTTTGTATATAGTGCCTTCAATCCTGCAAACGGATGTGTGTTTATTTTAAAAGTAATATTTTTCAAGGTTAGGATATTTATCATACTCGTAACATTTAAATTGTTTCATACAGTGCCAAATGAAATAATTTTAGTTTAATTCTTCAAACTTTATTTTCTTTTTTCGTAAAAGGAGAAACCGAATGACTCATTTTTGCGTTTGCATCCTCTTCTAAAATGAAGTTGAACCAAATATTTATCCAATAAAGTTTATTAGTCTCATTATTCCTTTCTCTTGCTAACTTTAAATTTTTCTTTTTTTATATTTATAAATGAAACATTAAAGCCAATAAGTATCTCGTATAACATTTTGATGATGCATTATATTGCCATTTTAGTTAAACATGAATGGTGAAGCGTCTTCTTTGAAAAAGTGCGAATTGATCTGTTAGATAACACAGTATAAAAACTATTAACCAATAATAGAGTGAGTAAGTAAGTATCAATAATGAGTCACTCGCAAGACGTAGTTAATACGCCGGAAATAATGGAACTGGTGAGACTTCTTCGCCAGAATGGCGACAAGATCTTGAGCGCTTCCAGCAAGCTTTCCTTGTCGACGAAACTGTTGCACAATCTCAACAAAGCATTTTCACTGATTGTATCAGAATCCGAAGATTTAAATTCTTCATTTCATGTGTGTAACAGCTCCAAGATAGATATATTTCGTGATGTAAAATTTCTACATGATTTTGTGCAAAAGACTGTAGGTTTGAAAGTAATACATTGTTCATCTGACATCCAAGTTACCATTGACATCTCCAAATTTAGACATTTAAAGTATTTGGAACTGAAAGAGGTATCTGTTGAATTATTGAAGGGTCTACAGAGTGTCAGAGGTCAGTTGGAAAGTATTGTGTGTGCTGGCAGGAAAGGGATATCCACAATTTATCAATTATTAGGTAATATTTATATATTATTTAATATATAAATTATATATTATATATAAATTAATATTTGTAAACTAGATAAATATCAATGAATCACAATGTATTGTCACAAAGTGTAGTTTATAGTCACCCAATGTGTATTTTTTCTTTGTAGAAATGATGTCTTTAAAAGATAATATTATATATTTTGCTAATTTTCAATTATATATAGGATATCATAAAATAAATAACAATATAACTTTTAACAAACAAATATGCAAACAAAATTCTACAAAATTCTATAAAATTATTGATGTGACATACATAAAAAGAAATTACAGTTTTCTGCCTATATAAGTATTACATATATATATTGAAATTAGTTGTTGTATTGTCTTATATTCCTATATCTACAGCTGAATGTGGAGGTGATGCTGGAGTCGGTTTCGTATGGGCATCTTTGAGACACTTGGTATTGCCTCATAACGCTCTCAAATGTCTAGATGAATCATTAGAATTAGCACCTTGGCTTCAGATATTGGATCTGAGTCATAATATGATAATCGATGCCAAAGAAATATCTTATTTATCAAATTTGAGATATGTGAATCTAGGTTACAATAAATTAGAACAAATACCTATATTCAATAAGACAGTATTACATTCGTTACAAGTGTTGGTTTTGAAAAACAATTATATCGAAAATTTAAGCGGTTGGTTGTTTTCTATGCACTAATAACTCTTTTCATTTAATTTCCAAATAGTTTAAAGTTATTCTCTTGCTACATTTAAATATAACTTTCAAATTTATTAATAAACGCGTGTGATTACAGCAATTATTATCATCTATTGTTATTATTATCAATTTGTACAATAGGTCTTCAAGGCTTAGAGTGTTTGACAGAATTAGACTTGTCATTTAATTGTTTAATGGAGCATTTGATTCTCTTGCCACTGCAAAAGATGTCTACCTTGTTGTGGTTATCTCTAGAAGGAAATCCTTTATCATATCATCCAAAACATCGAATTCTGACCATTAAACATTTACATCCGAGTTTGTCAGATAGCAAGGTATCCCTGTGTAATATTGAAAATTGTTAAGCGCAAAACAACAGTGCTAATACACTTACATGACTTAACAGATCTGAATAAATTCGTATAGTTCGTTTTAGATCATCTGTCGCTCTCGAATGCGGAAAAAATGCTAGTCGCAGAAAATCGAATCTTTGCAATACTTACAAATCAATCTACTCTGACCAGCTCAATATCTGTATACGCTGATACACACGAATTTGACCAAGACAGATTAAATCATCGAACAATATTGTTATCTGAGAATCTAGAAAAAAGTGTAACAAGGAGTAAAAGAAGACCAAATGTCAAAGAAGCAATTATTGATGAAATCGATCAGGAAAGAAGAGAATTTAAAAAATTGCCTGATGTAGTAGCATCGTCTTCTCATTTAGGTAAGATTTTTTAAATAAATAATATATATATAGTAGAGTGAAGGCGTATTGTGTCTAATAAATTGCTGTCTAATAAAATGGAACAGTACTGTATATAATAATTGGTAGTATAGCAATAGAATGATGTATCTTTCTTGCAATATTCTATATTCTATATTAACTTTCATTGTTTCAGAATCATCAAAGGATTACTTGGAAATAAAGAAACGTATCTTAGATCTACGAGAAAAATTTGGTGAAAATAATTGGTTGAGCAGTCACGCAGGAACTTCTGTCCAGCACATTATGGGTCTTCAGCCTGCTTCACCAGAATCTCCAGAATCGCAAATATCTAAAATAAGGACTTTGGCTAATATTAATACATCATCGTCTCTTCACGATACTTTGATTTACGCAATAGATAATGAAAAATCATCTAATGAATCCCAAGAAATTGCAGAATACATAGAAGACGATAAAGAACTTCCTCAAAATAAGACCTTGGATGATCTTTCGAAGATATGCACTGCTCCTATGATTGTATATGATCCTAATGAAGGTAAAATACGCATAATGTATTAAATAATATATATTAACATCGCGCACAAGTTGATATTTTTTTTATTATAGAGACTGGAGACTTGTACATCGTTCAGAAAAGGAACAATGAGAATGAGATGGAGAATGTCTTTCTGGTAATAACTTCCGAGTAAGTTATTTTACTGCAAACAATCATAACACAATTAGAATTGCATTAGATTTAAACATTTTTAATTATTTACAAGAAAAAGCAAAGATGACAGATTGTCGAAAGTAGTTTTCAATTAAATATGTTTTAATTGTAAACATTTTTTAATATATTATTATTAAGCTAAAATTTTTGTGATAATATTTGCAGAGACATTAAAGAAAGAGATGCAATTACTGGAAAAATAAAATTTTGTTGGTCAACAAATTCCTTATTGTCTTGCGTCTTAGGTAGAAGCGATCCACCCACAGTTGATATTATTTTTGACACTACTAGGAAAGATAAAGAGAATAGGCGATATTTTGCACAACTAGATGATGCAAAGGTACTGAGAAACATTTAAATACGATTTTGGAGTTTACAATATAATGCTTTTTTAGAAAATTGTAACAACAATTAGCGAGCAAATCGAGATGCGGCCAATACTGCTCAAGATTTTTAAATGTATGAAATGTTCGACACAATTCTCACAGGATCCGGAATTATACGTAGCACTCGCTATTAAATCGATGACAGGTTTGTTTTACGGTTTATGATGAGATACTATATTTTTGGAGAGAATTGAGTGAAAATGATGATTTTTTTCAGGTACAAAAATCAAATGTCCTACCTGTGACAGCAGCTTGGTCATTGAAGTAGAGACACTTTCTAATGTAGATAACCAAATTATAAAGAGTCAGCTAATAGACAATCCAACAAGACTCAACCTGGCACATTCCGAGTCATTCTCCAGTATCGGTATGTCCCTCGATCGTCATATTTTGTCAGCATGTAGGATTCTTCAGACAAAGTGGATTTATAAAAAAAAATGCACAACCTGTACGAGATTTTTTACACAATATTGCGATCCTTTTTGCAATGTTATATCAAGATATATTTTGCAATGTTGAATTTCGATGTATTAATTCTCAAGAACTTCAATTTCTATGACACAAGCATTAAAAAAATCAGAGCGAGATTTTAATTATTATAGGAAAAATAATAGTAAAGAATGTTACAATTTTTGATTCATCTGAAAAGTAAAGCTGCAAAAATACACAACTGAGTGTCATGATCGCTTTTACTTTGAATTATGAATTATTATGTATAGTTTGTGCAAAACAATCACATTAAAATTAGCCTGATATTACTTTATCTTAAAAAAAAATAAATCTTTCCTAGCCAGCTGATTGAGTAAATAATAATGAATGCAGTCTAATAGTTGATGTGTGTATGTTTTATATATA